AGAGTTGGACACGACTGAGTGACTAAGCGCAGCACAAACCATGACATTGAGCACTTCAAGGTGGGTTGTGTTATAAGAGTAAACGCAGGCAGTCACAGTCAGGTGTGGGTTCATCCAGGCGGCCCAGCTCCAAGGTAGAGTCAATTGTCTCTGTCTTCTGTTGTCTTTTGTTTTCTGCCTGTGGAAGGGAAAAGGTCTGCTTGCACCCACCCATTCCTTTTTCCTCTTTCTGGTTTTCAGGGGCGGATGTCCATGCCAGGGACTCCCGCCGGGGAATGTCCTCCCAGGAGTGGGCTACCTACACTGGACGGTTTGAAGCGGTTCGGGTCATCCAGAGGCTACTGGAGCGACCCTGCCCCGAGCAGTTTGGGGAAAAGTACAAGCCAGAGCTGCCACTGGCCCCAGAAGCCGGTCAGAAGCCCGCGGGCTCCAAGAGCTGCCTGCAGAAGCTCACGGATTTTGTCCGGTCCACGCTGACCTCCCGCTCGCGCCAAGGCCTGGAGGACGGGGGAGCCCTGGACCACATGGTCAAGATGACCACGAGCCTCTATAGCCCCGCTGTGGCCATCGTCTGCCAGACCGTGTGCCCCGAGAGCCCCCCCTGTGTGGGCAAAAGGCGGCTGGCGGTGCAGGAGATCCTGGCGTCGCGCGGGGACCCGGACACGCAAGCCCAGGAGAGGGGCCCTGAGTCGCAACCCCAGACCTCCCAGGCCGCGGGGGTCTCCAAAGAGGAGGCCCCCCGAGCCGGCCTCGCGTCTTCGCAGCCGCCGGCCGCCCCCCGGAGGGCCAGCCTCCTGCCCCTGCAGCTGCTGCGGCGGAGCAGCGTGCGACCCGGCGTGGCCATCCCCAAGGTGCGCGTCAGCAAGGCGCCCGCGCCCACCTTCCAGCCCGAGCGGGCGGCCCGCGGCAGCACCAAGGACAGCAGCCACCTGCAGCTGCCCAAGTGGCGGTACAAGGAGGCCAAGGAGGAGAAGCGGAAGGCGGAGGAGGCGGAGAAGCAGCGGCTGGCCGCGGCGCAGAAGGAAAAGCGGACGTCGTCCTGGAGGAAAAGGACGTGAGGCGGGGTGTGTCCGGCGCGCGGGGGTGAGGCCGCACGCAGAGCCCGCCGGCCGGGGATGCGAAGCTGCCCGGAGCCCCGGGGGAGACGGCGGGGACGCTGGGTGCGGTCCTCCCTGCAAGTGTGCGCCCCCCCCCCCCCTCGCCCCGCCCTTGCCTTTTACGCACAGCACAGCCCGGGCGCATAGGCTCCCTCCGGGGCCCAGAAAACGTTCCTGTCTGTTCAGGCTGCACCCAAGAGTGAACTGGGCCGAGCCCTAATTGAATCGCCTAAAACCGGTTCCCCCAGCAGTCAGTACTCATAGTGGGCATTCTACCTAAAACTCGACCACTGAGCCACCAGGAAAGCCCCCGTTAGAACCTCAGTGAAGAAATATTTAAGACCAATTTATCCAAAGGACATTTTCTGTATAGTTTTGTATTTTTCAGTTATGATCCAGCTTACATTACTTGACCAGTGATAGGGCTCTTTGTAAATATTTATGACGGTCTTAATGCATTTGTCTGAAGACCCTTTGTTTAAAATACTGTTTCTAGCAATAATTATTTGTGATATCTCTATGATTTCACATAGAATTTGTGGCATTCTCCTCCTGTGGGCCCTCTTTTGCTTTTTTTTTATTGGGGGCTTTGCCTTTCCATCTCCTTGGGGGGTGCTCATAAGCACCACATGTCCTTAATTGGATTAAGTGATGTTGAAGATTTCTATTGGATAAAGGCATTTGCTGCTTTACCACAAAATGACCAAGTAAGACAGAGTAGTCAAATTTCCTTTAATTTCTGAAGCTCTCTTGTCCATCCAGTGGTAAAAATGAAGAAAACCAATTGTCAAAGTATGAGACTATATAGAGGAGTGTGTATTTATTGCTAGAACTAAGCTCATTTTAAGCAAGGGGTTTTAGATAATCTGCATATAAAGTCTTGAACATACTCAAAAATAGAAAAAAAAGTGTTTAAGAAAATGGGGGCAACTCTAATAAATTATTACTAGAAATACAAAATTAAGTTATGTGCTCTTAGACAATTGAATTCAAATATCCTTAAGATGTAAAAAGAGATGCTAAAAGCGTAGAGTTCTGCAAACTACTGACATAGGTGGGCCATACATTTTTTGAGAAATAGGGATTAGAGCTGAATATTAAGCAAACATATTTTTGGCAAATTCTCCTGGAGTGAGCTGGGTTGCTTCCTCCTCCCGACTCAATTCCAAGAGATCCCTGGTGTGGAATTTTATTTTTCCTTTGATGATGGCCCCTCGTGTTCAGTTCATCCTCATGCAGACTTTGTAGACTTTCCAAGATTCGGGAACTTTGGCAGCGCACAGGTGTGGTTTGCCTGAGCTCTCTGTGGGAATTTTCTGCCCATAGTTTTATCTCCAAAAAGCTGAGAAATACTAATGAATGTCTGGCTATCTGGGTTGCAGAATATCTCTCACATATGCACTACCAACAGCACTTTATTTAAATATTATCCTGCATATAAGCCATCGATTTAAACCATTACAGACTAATGGAAAGCTGTTTATTCTGTCTCTGGATTCACAGGGGGAATTGTGCTCCCTGGCTACGCGGCGACAAGCGCCCATCCATCTCATGATGTGGGCGCATGGCACTGGCCTCTCCCTCCTCTTTCCCCCCGCCCCCCACCATCAGACATCGAGCATCTTACACTCATCTCTCCAAAAAACCTCAATGAACAGACCATCAGGCTGCACCCAGGCTAATGGGAGGCAGATGTGACGATAATACAGCTTTCAAAATCAGATTTTAATGAATTCCTCCCTCGTTCCAGAAGGGCCCAGGAAGAATGGCCCATAGGTCTGGACCCGCTTTGAGCATCACGGATGTGGTAGGCTGTGGGTCACCCTTGAGCCTGAGAGCTGGGCTTGGCCAAGTGCCCTTGGATGAGATGAGCGCTGGTCCCCGAGGTGGAGAGAAACACGTCTCGTCTCCCCGATGGTCCAGTCCACACCCTGCATTGAGATCATGTTTTGTGTTGATATGTTTTGGTTGCTTTGAATGGTTGGCTGCACTTTTCTCCCCAAGGGCTCACCCCTCCCTCTCCCCAAGTGTCAGTCAGGGATAGGGTCACTGATGGGCAGTGTCCCCCGCCCCCAGCTCTGTCACCATGTATGTTCCCTGATGGCCCTTTTGCCTCCTTTTCCCCTCACTTTTTCTTTTTCTTTTTTTTTGTTTTCTGCCTATCTTCTGCTCCAGATTTAGCTAAAATGCCTTGATCATCCCTGGCGCCACTACTTAGAGGTCTAAAAAGAGCAGAAAACCATGGAGTCATGAGAGATCCACAGTGTCCCTGATGACTTACCATATCATGCCCTCCAGACACTCAAGAGTGAATGGACGGCAGATTTCGCCCGCTGCTTCTGTGCAGAATTCCGCCCCATCCACCACCTTCTTTTTGTATAAGGAGGGAGATTTAGCTTGCTCTCCTGACAGATGGGGCTTCCCTGGTGGCTCAGCTGGTAAAGAATCCGCCTGCAATGCGGGAGACCTGGGTTCGATCCCTGGGTTGGGATGATTCCCCTGGAGAAGGGAAAGGCTACCCACTCCAGTATTCTGGCCTGGAGAATTCCATGGACTATAGTCCATGGGGTCGCAAAGAGTCGGACACGACTGAGTGACTTGCAGTTTCACCTGATAGATGAGAGCGCTGCCCTGCTGTACAAAGGATCCGCTGTCTGCTTTGCACTCCTGATGTTTAGTAACTGTAAATAGTGAGTTTCAACTTGACAGGTACCTTCTCAGGGATTTATATATAAATAGAGTTAGGGCGAAAGGTGAGCTATATTTTAACACTTTTTAGCATCTGAGTGAGTTGTTATCACACTAGACAGAAGAAATATTTCTAAGATAATGTCAGTGCTGCTTTTTTTTCCCAGGGCAATGCCTGGGAATCACCCCTCCCATTGAGACTTCTTGATTCTTAGAAACTCGGGACTCTGGCGGCTGAAATGGCTTTGGAGTGGACGTGAAGTCACTTCACAGGGCCTCTCAGTTGCCTCTCGTGGAAGTGAACCCTTGTATTTAGGAAAAAGAAAAAAATTCAACCTCTGTGTACGAAGAGGTGGCTGTGACAACACAGATGGGCCACCCATCGATTTTACCTCTAGAACTGGTTCCTCCCCGTCTGATACCTGCGTGTGTGGTGTGAGGACGGTGTTTTCTCTCTGCTCCCGTGAATCACATGTTCTACAGTCAGCCCCGTTGCCAGGCTCACCGCCAGGAGAGGGGACGGAAAAGCTGGAATGACCACAGTGTTCAGAGGCCTTCCGTGTCTTCAGCTACACCCAAGGAATGCAACACACAGCATTATGAACCTTCGTGACTTTTTCCTGCAGCATCTCCCCACCGGCTCCTGGCGGCACCAGAAGCCTCAGAAATACGCTTGGAAACCACACTAGGTCGTCATCTCAACTTTCGACCCTCCTGCGACTCGCTCCTTCTGCGGTGGAGGGTCAAGTTTGTGGCGTCAGTTGGAAAGTGGGATCTGTGGGTGCAGGGAGGGGATGGGCCAGTCCGAGCTGCCTCTGCCCACTTCCTTCCGGGCCGTCAGTGGCCAGCCAGATCTCTGGAAAGTCCACTGAGTGGAGATGAGGCTCTGAAACTGAATCCCACGAGGTGGGGGCCAGACCACAGTCCTGAATTGGATGCAGAGCCCGCGGTCTCCGGGAAGAGTCATGGGCACCCAGTTACTATGAAGAGAAGCACCGCTGAGGGACGGATGAAGGAGCCAAGACTAAGAAGAAGGGCTGATCTGTGTCCCATAGCCTCTGGCAGGGGCACCGTTTTCCTGCCTGACCCACACTACGTTAAGACAGAGGACCATCTTTGCATCGTTCACCCGAGCTTGCTCTGTGAAATGAGCCCTAGTCCCAGGTTCACCTGGGACCCCTTGCTGTTTCTTCTTCCCTCCTGATATCCGATAGGATGCAGGTATTCCCTGCAGTGTTGAGATTAATCAGGAACTATTGTAAGCTGCTGGTTGCAATCTGTCTTTTATCAAATGAAGTGCTGGCACTTTTTCTGTCAAGTATTTGGGGACATTCTAACACGCCACCCACGCTCACCAGCCCCGTGGGAACCTGTGTGGATTCTGCCCTTGGCTGTGGGTGCCCGGCTCATGGTGATCCATCTGTTCTGTGTGTCTGTTCCTTGCTGTTCCGGGCAGCAGGCTCATACCGAGCCCCTTTTCAGCCTGGCCTGGGGGACCAGGTCTTCTTGGGAAGGAAAGCAGAGAGGATCCATCAAGAGTGATTAAAACAAAGTCCCATTCACCTCCACAACTGGCACTGATACATAAATTGATACACAATGGTGACCACTGGTGGGGTGGGGGCTGTTGCCATAAAGAACTTGTAACAAAACAGCTCTTCTGAAACCCTGGTTGCCCTGCCTGCTCCAGCATGGAGAATTTGTTGCAAACCTCAGGGCAACTCCTGTGTCAGTGGCTCAGGGATGTGCCTTTGAATTCATGTTTTTTCATTAACATTTAAAATCAGCAGCTAAAAAAAATTCCACTGGAAGTTTTTTTTTTTTAAGAAATAGAAAAACAAACAAAATCACCCCACCTCCCAAAACCACCCCGACCTGGTTTGATTTAGCTCATTTTTGAGGAACTCAGTTGAATGAGATGGCTGCTGGTCAATCTCTCCTTCCCCTGACCAAGCCTGAAATAAGGCTCATGTGAAAGGCAAGCCCTGCAGTGGTCTGACGGCTCTCAGCTGCAAGTGGAGACGTGTGATGTGATGTGAGCATGCGCGCGCGTGCACACACACAGACACACACACACACACTGGAAGGAGTTTGGGTTTTGTGCTCACAAAGGGGACTGCCACTATAGCTCCCAGGGAATGTCAGCTATGACCTGGTGTATTTGAGGATGAGACAGCCCAGGACCCCCACCGGGATCCTTCCACTGTGTCCTTGTTGAAAGATGGTGTTGGCTGGGCGGCTCCTGGATGAGGGTGTGTCGTGGGGCCTGGGTCCTCTCTGCTTTTGGCTGCGTCCCCGGCGTGGAGTGGCGGAATCCGGAGGGGATTCTTGGGGGGGAGCTCCACCAGGCATTCAGCCTGGGGTTGCAGATGGTTCGGTACCAGGCTCCATACCCCGCGGAGGCACGGAGAACCCCCCGAGTCTTTCCGAGTGTTGAGATGCTCTAATCGATCACCGCTCAAGCAGTTTGGTTTTTGAGAGAATCACTTCATGATAATGGGACATCTTTCTCCTGTTTTTGAAGAAAATGTGGATGAGAAACTAAATGAACCCAGGCAGGCCCAGCAGTGGCCTGTGTTGATCCAATGAGATTTTTGGGAGGTCGCATGAAGCACTTTAACACCAGTTTCTGAGCAGACATTCTGGAAGCTGGTTTGGAACCTCGCGGTTCTGTCAAAACTGGATGAAAACCAGAAAAAGATGCTAGAAACCTGGCAATGTTACCAGCAACCCCATGAGCCTTTGGGACATCCCAAGGAATTTGAGTACTAGACCCCATTGAAACAAACAGGCAAGGCAAATCTCATTGGAGTCCTTTTCATTCAAACCCTCGTTCTGCCTGGCACGTGCTGGGTATCTGATGATATGTGTCTTTAAGAAGGGTGACGAAGAATTGTGTGCACTGCACAGGGGCCAGGTTTCAGGTTATGTCACGTTGGTATAAGCTTTGCTTTCTGAATGTAAAACTATTTTCATTGTCATTTCTAAAACTTCTGTAGGTTTCTGGATATTGTAAAAATGTTGAATAAGGATATAACAGTGTAAATTTCATAGCGTTTTATTTTGAGGTGAGAGTTTTGTTACGGTTTATAAAAGATATTTTCCTATTTAGACCTCAGGGCTATTTGGGGACCTACAAATAACGGTGACCCCAGCCATTTCAATTCTTGATATCCAAAAAGTTAATCATCTTTAAGTTAGATGGGATATATTGCTCGGCAGAAAGAATGTGTCTTTCCCTGTCACCTCCTAACAAACTCTGTATCTAAAGTTTAAAAAGTATAACAAGGTGTGGTCATGTAAAACTGTGGCTACAGAATTAAAAATCACTTGTGAAATAAACAGTCTCATGGTACAACAGTGTGCTATTGGGATAAACCTAAGTGTGTATAAATTAGAAAATGGTACAGTGATACCAGTATTTTTAATGTTACTCATTTTGATCAAAGTAGGTGTGCACTTCCTTCATCTGACACACTCTTATTTTTCACATTGTATCTCAAAGGTAAGATTTTTAAGTTCGTTAGAGCTTAATGAATACTTGTGAATACCTCTGCACATGTTAAAATAATCTCTTTGCATCCTACCTCTTCTCAGAAGTGCCCACTGGTAGGGAGGCATCCTTCAGCCATGTTCCTGTGTATTTATTTACATGTCTTCTATGATGCTGGGTAAGATTGAGGGCAGGAGGAGAAGGGGGAGACAGAGGATGAGATGGTTAAATAGCATCACCGACTGAAAGGACATGAATTTGAACAAAGTCTGGGAGAAAGTGAAGGACAGGGAAGCCTGGTGTGCTGCCATCCACGGGGTCGCAAAGAGTAAAACATGTGCTAGCAACTGAACAACAACTGTATAGAAACAGAAATGTAGTTTTATTTTTATATGTGTTCTTTGGCTTAAGTGGTGCAGCATAAATGCATTTTAGTTTCTTTTCTTTACCCACAACACATCCTTGGAAAGCTTTTTAAAGAATTAAACAATTAATTTCATTTTCTTTTAACAGGTAAAAAACGTAATACACAAAAACAAGAGAAATTCACCAAATACAATAAAGGATGAAAAATGACTCATGCTCCCTCAGGGCAGTCCCTCAGATATGTGTGCATCTTTCTAGAAATACATTTATATGTGTGTTTATTTATTAGTTGATTTACAGTGTGGCTTCCGTTTCGGGTATACAGCAAAGCGATTCAGATGTGTGTGTGTGTGTGTGTGTGTGTGTGTGTGTATAAAATTTATATATAAGTATATATTGCTGTTATTGTTCAGTTGCTAAGTCATGTCTGACTGCAACCCCACGGACTGCCAGGCTTCCCTGTCCTTGAGAGTTTGCCCCTCTCCCTGAGAGTTTGCTCAAGCTCATGTCCATCAAGTCAGTGATGCTATCTAACCATCTCATCCTCCCCTCCCGCCTTCAATCTTTCCCAGCCTCAGGGTCTTTTCTGGTGAGTCAGCTCTTCACATCAGGTGGCCAAAGTATTGGAGCATCAGCTTCAGTATCAGTCCTTCCAATGAATATTCAGGGTTGATTTCCTTTGGGATTGACTGGTTGGGTCTCCTTGCAGTCCAAGGATTTTCAGTATACAAAGGACCCTCCTCATTAGGAAATCTGTGAGCTGACATGAAAAGTGAGAGAGATGGTCTTTATTCTCCCCACTGAACCTGGTGACGGAACCTTCTTCCAGCATCATGAGGCTCCAGGGAGAAGGGTGGTGGGGTGGTGACTGCGGGAATGAAGAGGGGTGAGAGATGGTCGTAAGGCAGGGTATTCCTGGGACGTTCTTCCGGTCTGCCGGCCAGGCCCCAGGACCAGTGCCTCTGCTCTGGGCAGTCCTGTGGTCAAGAAGTCACACCCCTCGAGTATCTCAAGGGCTTCTGCATGCAGCTCTTCATGTGGTCACTGGCTCCCAGCAGGTCACTCCTGCTGTCTCCCATAATGATGACCAGGCTGTTTTCCAGCCAAGGACATGAAAGGTGACCCGGAAACGCCCCAGTCTGCTGACAAAACACTTTGATATGCAGATGGCTCAGGTAAATTGTCAGCTCGCCCACAGCTCCCCATCCCCTGGGGGACCACTGTCCCTGTGGCCGGGCCACCCTGCTGACCTCTCATCATCTGCCTGTTCATCCCACCCAAGCTCATCACTGCTCTCACTTAAAAACCCCAAAACCGAACAAGATGTTGATGCATTTTTTTTGGATAAAAAAAAATTATAAGTATATAAATGAAACTCAAATTCACCTTGCTATTTCAAGAGTTATTTAAAACACAAAATCAAGAAGTCATGTAGCTGCAAGGATATTATGTCAGCTTTTCATGGTTTGGAAAAAGAATCGTTAACAGGACCAAGAACTGAGTAAAGATGAACCAGGAGGGCTCCTCTCTGGGCCACCAGAGATAGGAGGGTTAGGAGGGTTTGGTTGTGGTGCGGAGGTTGCCACCCTGTTGTGAAGAAGGCTGCCAAATGTCCGCACTCCCTGGGCAGAGGAGTCCCCGAGTCATCCCATGGTCCCCCCACTTCTTGACCCTGGGGTTGGGGGGACAAGTTTTTACCTTATAACCTGAGTGATGGTTGAAAGCTGCAGTCTGGCCATCCTTCCTGACCAAACCCCATTGCAATGGGTCTCCCTTGTTTGAAGCATATGATGTCCTTTGTGAGGTGAGAGGTCAGAGGTTGGGGGTCAGAAAAGCAAAAACCCCTGCCTTCTCCCTCCCACTGCTGAGCACATACTGGGCCTGTCCTGAGCCCCAGTTTGTGTTTCTCTGACTCTACACACACTTGCTTTCTTGGTGGCTCAGGCAGTAAAGAATCTGCCTGCAATGCAGGAGACCTGGATTCCATCCCTGGACCAGGAAGATCCCCTGGAGAAGGGCATGGCAGCCCACTCTAGCATTCTTGCCAGGAGAATCCTGTGGACAGAGGAGCCCAGTGGGCTGCAGTCCACGGGGTCACAAAGAGTTGGATACCACTGAGTGACTAACAGTTTCACTCACTTTTCCTTTTCACACACTCCTAGTATCAGGCCAGTTGGCTCTTGTGATATCTGGGAAACTCTTGCATTCTCCTGGAGCCGGCAGATGGATGTCTGTAGTTACATAAAGCAATGATGCACCAAAGGCCAGGGTTCCTGGGGCCGCCAGCATCAGCACAACTTGGAAAACTGTCAGAAAGACAGCTGCACCTGGGTTATTCTCCTGTGATTTCTGTAACAGGTCTTCTGGATGGCTTCAGGAAAGTGGAAATGTATCCCCTAGTAGTTCGGGAGGGCAGAAGATCAAAATCTCCCATGCCCATCGCCCGCAAAGGCTCCAGGGGTGGGTGCTTCCTTGTCTCTCCCAGCCCCTCGTGGTTGCCAGCATTCCTTGGCATTCCTTGGCTTGTGGCAGCCTCCATCACCACATGGTGGCTTCCTCCTGTGCATCTGTGTCCACATTTCCCCCTTTTTGTAAGGCCACTAATCACTGGATTAGTACCCACTCACCCTAAGCAAGCGTGGCCTCATTGTAACTCAAGGACATGTGCAAAGACCCTATTTCT